AACAATCAAATTGATTCATGAACATGAAATTTAATTAATTTGAATTAATGAATATAAAAAAAGAATAATGTATATACATTTAAACAAATGGGGTGTAAGTGAACCAACACGAAATTTAATTAATTTGAATTAATAGATATAAAAAAAAATAAACATTTATATATATTTAAACAAAGAGGGTGTACATGGACCAACATGAAACTTAATTAATTTGAATCAATGAACATGGAAAAAGAATAATTTATATATATTTAGACAAATGACGTTATATCACAGATTAAATGAATAATATTGAAATTAAATAAGTGTACATGAACTTGAATAATTTATCCACTCTTATAATAATTGAATAGCTCCCAAATCATATGATTTTTAATAATTTATACACTCTTAGAATAATCCCATCACGTGAGAATTATTTTCTGAACGATTTTAACTTTATTACAATTTAATTATTTCAAGGGATATGTTAGATGTACACACAATACTTTACCAAATGAATTACACCCTCCTCACATGGAGGGGGCCATGAATATTGTGTGTGAGCCCCCCTCCATGTGAGGGGGTGTAATCTATTTGGTAAAATATTGTGTACATTTAGACTAATTCTTATTTTAATAGTACCTTACTTTTTGTTTTTCAATATACATTTAATTGAATATTAATTATTGAACATGCACACAAATAAATAATTGAATTGTACGAGAACAATTAAACTCATTCATGAACATAGAATTTAATTTATTTGAATCAATGAATATAGAAAAAGAATAATGTATATACATTTAAACAAGTGGATGTAAGAGAACCAACATGAAATTTAATTAATTTAAATTAATAGATATAGGAAAATAATAATTTATATATATTCAATCAAATGGGGTGTATATGAACCAACATGAAATTTAATTAATTTGAATCAATGAATATAGAAAAATAATAATTTATATACATTTAGACAAATGACGTTATATCATAGATTAAATGAATAATATTAAAATTAAATAAGTGTATATGAACTTGAAAATAATTTATCGACTCCTATAATAATTGAATAACTCTCAAATTATATGATCTTTAATAATTTATATATTCATAGAATAATTTATGATAAAATGAATAATCTTGAAAATAAATATGTGTTCGTGAACTTGAATAATTTATTTATTTCTAGAATAATTAAATAACTCCCAAAATACGTGTACATGAATTTGATGACTTAATATTATATTTAATATATTCATAAATAAATGTTAATTAGTATACATGCACATACATAAATAATTGAATTGTAGTATTTTTAGAGTAATTGAACAGTCCCAAAATATATAAAATGTACATGCCTGAACTTGAAAAATTAATTGATTGAATTATAGTCTGATATATATAAATTAATGTTAATTATTATCATAAACGTAAATAAATAATTGAATCTTATAAAAAATGCATTTCACATAAATAGTTTTTTTTAACTATTTTTTATATTCACTAATTTTCAAATATCATTTTTACAGCATTTATAAAGTATTTCAAAATAACGTGTAACCTACTTTTGCAAAAAATAAAAATTGCATGTAATACCTACTTTTGCAAAAGATAAATAAATAAAAGTTTTCCTTTATTATATAAATAAAAATATTTAAAAAATATTCATCTTTCACAATTGTAGCCTTTTCAATTTTTTATTTATTTTGGAAAAGTTTGAAACATCCCCTGCA